TTTCGTATCAGCAGCAAACTTGCTGAGGGTGCACTCTGTCCCTTCCTCCAGGTCATTGATGAATACGTTGAAGAAGACTGGACCCAGTATTGACCCCTGGGGGACACCACTAGCTACAGGCCTCCAACTAGACTCTGCGCCATTCACCACAACCCTCTGAGCTCGGCCATCCAGCCAGTTCTCAATCCACCTCACCGTCCACTCATCTAGCCCACACTTCCTGAGTTTACCTAGGAGGATGTGATGGGAGGGAGTGTCAAAAGCCTTGCTGAAGTCCAGGCAGACAACAGCCACTGCTCTCCCCTCCCCTACCCAGCCAGTCATTCCATCAGAGAAGGCTATCCGGTTGGTCAAGCACGATTTCCCTTTGGTGAATCCATGCTGACTACTCCGGATCACCTTCTTGTCCTCCACATGCTTGGAGATGACCTCCAGGAGGAGCTGCTCCATCACCTTTCCAGGGAGGGAGGTGAGGCTGACAGGCCTGTAGTTTCCTGCCTCCTCCTTCTTGCCCTTTTGGAAGACTGGCGTGACATTGGCTTTCTTCCAGTCCTCAGGCACCTCTCCTGATCTCCAGGACCTTTCCAAGACGATGCAGAGTGGCCTAGCGATAACATCCGCCAGCTCCCTCAGCAGAGGGAGCAGAGTTCCTTACAAGCAACTACTCTTACCAGATCTATTTAATGAATTGTAACAAAAATGCATGAGAACTAAAAGATATTTGTAAAGAGGAATGATTTTCGCTGTTTTTCTCCTTTCATTTAATTTACCTTCTAATGTACTGCTCACATGCAGGACATTTGGACTATCCATTGGAAGCAGTTGTGAAGGCAAAGGTATATCTCCCGTTCCCTCTACCAGGTATACAAATTCTCCAATCTGAAACACAGGAACATATGCATTCTAATTCAGAAAGTAACTCATGCATAACAAATGGCAAAACATTAAAACCAAAGATATTCTAGCAGTATTGAAGATCTAGCTTACAAAATCATTTATGTATTCAGGAGATCCATTTTTTTAACACTGCATTTAAACAAAATGATCATTTCAAACCCTGCTATGATAACAAAGTACCTTTAATTAAGCATATTAAATGTGAAAAGTCAAGAAACTTCAACTGCAAGATGACCCCTTTCTAACTCATCATGTATTTAACTGAATGAGGAAACCCTGAACCATACATATGAGGATAAAATGGTATTTTATCACGTGCAATTAGCCACATATATTTTAGATATATACACCAGATGACTGTATTGCTCTTCACTGTTAAGAAATTTTGCAAAAAAAAATTTATGGTAATTTTGAGCCAGTCACATTTTTGATCTCTAGAGATGAAGAAAGAGTATAAGTGAAAGCAGGCTAGCACCATGTACAAATTTTCCATTGAAAAGAAAGAGTTAATAAACTTTATTTATTTCATCAAAATTAATGAAAATAGCCTACAGAAGCATCTGAGTAAACACCACAGAGACCTAGAACAAAGGAAGACAGTAATTTACCACAGAGGAAAGGATAAATTAGTTAACAGAGAAAAAGCATTCTGAATTATAGAAGAAATGAAAAAAAAAAAAGGTATAAGTGCAAGACAGAAAAGTATTACAAAAGGAAAATTCACTAAAAATATTCCACACTGTGAAGATTTCAGTCAGAACATTCAAAACTAAAACATATTTAAAGTAGGTATGTGAAGTATTAGGATTAGTTTATCTATCTAAACTAGGTAGGAGATTGTGAATAGTTATACTGCTATTATTGCTTTGATGACTTCTTATTGTTTACTGTAAACCTGCTTGCACTACATTAGCTTCTGCTGCTCACAAGGTAAAGGATTAAATACTGCTACAACAAGACATAATTTGCCATGCAAGGTCATTTCTCAGATTTCTGTAAGCTACATCCTGTGAAATCCTGCCCTAGAACTGCATATCCTGTCATTTACTCTTCATTCAAAATAGGAGGGAAATTATTTCTATCACTTAGTCCACCTACTCACTAATGCAATTTTTTCCATCTACTATGGGTCAATAACATAACATAAGCCTGCTTCTTATTTTAGCTTTATTCATAGCTTTGTGAGCCTTTTATGTTAAGGCTCAAAATATTGCACGTATGTTTCTGACAGAGCAGAAGGAGAGCTATTCAACTTTGATGGCATTTTCTCCCTTTCCTTGGTTCAAGAGTTCAGACAAATCTTTTTTTGAGAAAGATTAAACAAACCTACAGCAAAATTGGTTTCCCACACACAAACTAATAGCCACTCCTGGGAACCAATTTAAACAGGAATTATTCCTGTTTGACACAGTGTTTTGCCTCCATAAGGACCATTAACAAGCTCTCAGTATACAACTAATTTCATGAAGGTATTAGTTGCTAGGATGCCCTTCTACTATCATTTACTTTCCTTATCATCACTGACATTAACATGCCTATGTGTGAAGAGAAACTCCCCTATTTCCCTCCTTGCTTTGAAAAAGTCTGGCTTTTTGATCTCCACAGAGTGCAAATCTTGCTTTCTTTTTGCTGAGATTTTTCTTGATGCTTTCTAACAGAATGGGTATCTGACTGTATTTTGAGAGTTTAGGTAGTATCCATGGTTTTAACGCTTTATATTTCTAGTTTTGATCAGCTGCAAATAGGATAGCACAACAATTTTGTAGAGTTTATTGTTTAAAAAATAGTTAATAAAATAGCTGTTTAACTATTGTCGACTATTTATTGTAATCTCATTTCTAACTGATATTTTAAAAAAATGCACAACTACTAGGCATTTGCAGTTATCCATAACAGTCAGCTTCAAACTAAGAACAGCACATAGTTAAGCATTCTATTAATAAACTATTTAATCTTATATTAGACATTCAGGTGTGAAAGTCTGGACTGCCACTTTTAAATTATGATTTCATAAACGATTATCATGGAAAGTAAGAGTGGCTGACATGTAAATTAGCTCACAGAAACAAAGGTCTAGAGACAAAAGCAACCTGATTATCCTTTAGCCAACATACAATTTCTCCTCTGAAAAGATCTACGCTAATAATTTCAAGAATGTCAGTGTCATTTTTTCTTAAACTCAAAGAAATATTAAAACAAATCCTTGAGAATCATATAAACAACTTGTGCTGCCATTCCAAACATTAGAAAAGCTAACATCCACATTCTTTCAGAAAAAAATTTAAGGAACATACTTAAGTAAGCCAACAAAATGGAACCAGTTTAGCTTCTTGCTTTTATCGCATAAATGTAGTTGATGTGATGACAGACAGTATTCCTACTCATATTCAAGTATTAACTGGTCATTTGGATCTCAACACCTTTTTCACTGATTGCAATACAGCAACATTCTTACTCTGACTACTGCTTTAGCTCATTTGTCACAATGGGTAGGAAAGGTTGGCAGGAAAAAAATTACAGAAATAATGAATTAAGTGATTTGTCAGATTACATGCAGCAAAAGTCCATAACTGAATGATATGAACCCTCATAACTATATGAAGCCACTTGATCTTCATACAGCTAGGTAGCTGCAGCTGTTGGTTTGGCAATGAGAAAACGGTGTGATTGGAATATTGCAGCCATATACACAATACCTAAGAAAGTCAATTTCTTCCTGTGCCATTACGGAATAGCTCTAAAAACACGCTAGCTATTTTGCAGTTTCCTCCTCCCCTAGCAGATTTATCACATTGTCTTACATATAATACAATTATGTAGATGGGACTTAATTTTTCTAACCTGAAGGGCTATTTATCAAAAACTTTGCATGTTCAGCAGCCTTTAAATGCATTACACCTACTTAGCTGAGCTGAAAGAAGTAGGAGTTTCAGATATAGTTAATATATAAAACGTAACAGTGGCTTCTCAGAAATGTTAATGCTTCCTGCTATGACAAGATAAACTAGTTCTTTGTTATGTCTAATTTCAGCTGTTTCTCTGTCACCTCTGTGGGCAACACCTTATGGTTTTCAGGGGCTATCAGAAATGTTCTTTTCCCTCTTCACCTGAGGAATGATTGTTCCATGGCTCTGACTGCAACTCTTTCTTGATTTGCTTTCTTCCCATAAATCAATCTCCATTTCCCTTCTTTTCACTAAATAACTGGTTTTCAGGCTCTACGCTTTGCCTAATGTGGCATGAGAGTCTTATTTTCAGTTATGGCACACACTACTGCTTCTAAAAGAGAAACAAAGAGCAGAGATTTAAAGAAAGAGTATAAAAGTACAGCAAGTAAAAGAAGATCCTTCTCAGATCTACTCCCAGAAACCAGTAGGTTAGGAATTTCCTTAACTACAGACTGTATGTAAATCATTACTTTGAATAAAAATTGATGAACTTAACCTTCATGAGTATAATTTCTATTTGAATTAATTTACAGTTTCAGCATCTGAAGTGTCCTGTAACAGTGGAATTCCAAAAGTCAAGTATGCTGTGTATGAAAAACTACTTTGGTTCAGTTTGTATTTCCTGCCATAATCATTCTCTATTAACTTTCTGCAAACTAGTCATAATTTTATGTACATCTCATGTCCATTAATCATCTCTTTTTAAGCTAAAGAACATTATCTTTTTAGTAGCTGTCTTCATGAAGAGGGAATTACATACATTTGATCATAATTGCTGGGGGTTTTTTTCTGCTTCTATTATATTGTCTGCTGGAGTGACTAGACCTATACACAATATTCTAGATGTGTCCACCATAGATCTTTACAGGGGCATAGTGAGTTTTCACTTTTTAATGTCTATGTCTTTCCTGATAATTTTTTTTAATGATCATGACCATTGGTTTGATTTTTCATTGAACTAGCCACAACTACATTTATCCTCTAACAGGAGAACATTTATATAACTTCTTTGTGAGTGATTCCCTGGTGTCAGTAAGATAAGGCTATGGCATTAGCTCATTTCTCACTGTAGGCATTAACAGAACGTCCCTCTTGTACCTCTCACTAATTTTCAAGAATGTCAGGTGAAAGGTATGTTTTATAAGCCTTCCAGCCATGTGGCCTTCTTTCTTAAAAATGGCCAGTGGTTCCAAATATCCAAAGGGACAGACAAACAAACTTGGATATCATTGCATGAGTTTTATTTTCCTTTAAAAAACAGGAAAAAATTAATAGGCCCGGTAAAAACAAACACTGAATATAGCCTGAATGAGAACAATAATAGAGAGTAATAATGGTCTCCTGTTTCATATTAAGAAAAAACACAGAAGCTAAGAATGTACAGGAGAAAAAGAATACTTCATTTAGTTTTGGGGATATTGTTAGAGACCATGAAAATGAGTCAGAGAGAATGGCAGCTATAGGTAATTGCACAGAGGGAAAGTTGACATATGGAGGTAGTATTATAAAAGTCAGCAGCAGAATGCAAGTCTTGAAACTAACCGCACATAAAAGAGGATCTGAGAAAAAACAGGGCGTTGATAAACATTGACAGCTAGGGACAAAACACAGCAGGGAAGTTAAAGAGGTGAAAAGATGGGTTTACAAAGACATAGAAATAATAAGATTGAGCCTACTGAGATACAGAACTACATGGACATCAAAGAAGCTGGCATGCAAACTTTAAGTTGTGAAAGTTGGTCGACAACAGGTCTTGGCAATTTGATTAAAGGAATTTCAGTTAAGTATACATGGCAAATCCCAGACTATATTAACTAAGAAAAACCGAAAAGTGTATCAAGAGAAACTGAAAGTCACTATTCATGCACAACCTGTTTAAAAGTTTTAGCACATTAGAGACAAGGACGGAATGGAAATCAGAAAAGCAGGTAGTTTAAAAAGAGAGAGAGAGAGGAAAAAAATTATTATTCTACTTTAAATGACAGCATATCCTTGATGCAGTAGAAAAAACAGGGAAAAGTACCGTACAGTAAACACTATATCCCTTCCCTACCTATATTTCATTAACCTAAGCCAAAAGCTTCATTCTTGCTCCCACTTAAGACAAATGCTTTAATTCCATATTTGTTTTGTAGTTGTGCTGTCTAGGAAGGCCAAAGTAATATTCTTTACAGTATTATTAGTAGTAACAATTTTACAGTAAAAGGTAATGTATAGCATTCCATACAACTCTAACCATACGGAGATTACAGGGCAGGGAACTTCGGTTTACATTTGTTAGCTGCAACCTGTAACCTTATATAAAAATGTTGCCTATTCTCTGACCCATTTCTTAGGTATCATTTTCCCCTCACAATTATAGGAATATCATACTTTTACCAAGAAATGAAATAAAAGATTTCCACTTCCAAAAGTTAGCATGTACATCATATCTTTGTAATTGTATACACATAATTACCCTAAAATTCGTACATAACTAATTTGAATATTCATTTACCCTGTTTACACAGAATTGGCAAACATACCTGAAAGTATAAAATTTTACAAAAATTCTCTCAATTCTTGAGTGACAAGGTTATCACATAAAAACTACCTACAGAATATATTTTCTATTCTTACCAGTTCATTAATCAGAATGACAGTGCAATAACGCTTTTCCAGATTAAAGGGAAGAAAGTCAATCTCTAAGCCTGCAGAACTTCTCTCTTCCAAGAATAGTATTTGCACCGGACTGAAGAACTCATGCAGGAGACTGGATTGGTCAGCTGTTAAAATAAGTTTTAATCATTCTTTATATACAATAGCATAGATTGTAAAATAATGTAGCTGCCTGAGTTTAAAAAGAAAGATACTGTTAACACTGTGCTGTAGTAATCAGCATTTAAGGCACTCCCAAATGACACGTGTGAACATGCTGTAATGCTGCATGCTTTAAGTATTACATAGACACATTTTGCTAATTAATTGCATTCTTATTCTGTGCATGGAAACAAAACAATGGAAAATAGAGTGCCTCTCACTATCGGGAGAAAAAAAAAACAAACCTCTTTAAGGATGTACAGTCTATAAGCAAATAACTCCACCTGCTAGAAATAACAGTACAGTTTAATATCATTTAAACAAATAATCTTGCTCTCAGTGGCAGTAATTACATGTTATGTTAGAGGATAAAATCCTCCAGAATGGACAAAAACTAAATTTTGGTAAGCTTACTTTCTATGCATCCTTCCCAAAAACATTAAGATGATAAGTGCTGAGATGACAAAGTGCTGAACGCTATGAGAGACCAAGAATGTTATGGGTGAGTCAGGCAACCTGACTACTTTCTCAATGAATGTTTTTCATCTGCTGAGCATATTCTGAAAATAAAGAATGCTTTATAACCTGACTTTCATTCAACCATGGCCAGCCAACCTTCCAGAAGGATCAACTGACTGAAGAGCAGAAGTGAAAATACAGGCAATAGAAATGAGCAAAGATCACAAGAGAAACCTTATGCCAAACTCAGGACAATTAAATAGAACTAATTCACCCCCAAAAAACACCCAAGAACCAAACTGAAGAAAGTTGTTACCCCACACACACTACGTTTCCTTTTCATAGTCAGAAATTGTTTTCCTAACAATGAAAACAGGAATTTCCCAGTATTACCACTTCAACCAACACTTAAGTTTTATGTGAATTTGATGCTTACAAAATGTACATAAACAATGACAAAAACATCCTTCCAATAGGACCCAAGCCCCATTTTTACCCTCCCATTGAATAGGCTAAGGCAGCCCTAGCAGCAAGTAATTTCTGAATAAAATAAGGCATAACTCAAAGTTTATCTCCTGTTAAAGTGTTCCTCATCCAAAGTATGTCAGACTGTGGAGCAGACGGAATCAGTCTTGTGAGAGTCCTCCTGCCCCACTTACTCTCTGAATACTGGGAAATTAAAAGCACCCTACAAGAAGTATCATTCATTAAATAATTTAGATGTTTTGACAGTTATCTCCTTTTTATTAAGGCTGTTCACTGCAGTAAAGTCGTTAGGACTGTAGCACAGTTTAAGAAATCACTACCTTAAATTAAATATAAAATATTACATGATAAACGCTCCTATAAATAATAACTACTGAGCATATTTCAACTGCCAAAATCTTGCTTATGCACATGCTTTAGCTGGTACTGTAGAGACAGGAGAGAGATTTTACAGAGGTACTTACAGCCATTAATGTTCTTCTCCTCATTTGGATCTTCAGGTACTGCACTATTTTTATAGTTTAATATGTTATTTTCAGAACTAAAAGGAAAAAACAGAAATGAAAGACATACTCTATAAAGTTGGACATTTCTATTATTAATAAATGGCTTCTTTTTCTTTTTTATGAATAAAATACTGGAAAAGCAAATGTTTTCAGGAAAAAAAAATGTTGGAACAATCTACCCATCAGGGATGTTAAAAGCCTTCTCCACTTAAGTTAATCATATTTATAGCACAGCCATCACATCCTACCTTCAATTAATCTGTGCACTATCTCTGCAATACCCATATAAACAAAATTTCACATTAAAAAATACTCCAGTTTTAAAAACTTTCTAGGATATCGAGTGGAAAGTCAGTTTTAACTCAATTGCTGCCCAATAGGAACTCTTCCAGTGAACTTAATTCAAATTCTTCTCTTTATCATATCAATAGCCTAAGAAATATGCAAAGTAAAATTACCTCATGGCAAAAAATACAGAGTTGATGCTGCCACTGTCTCTACATGATAGAACATATTTCTTTTACTAACAGTGCTGATTTCCAAACAAATTGGGTTTAGCATCCCAAATCTGCCATTTATTTGTATTGAAGTGGAAGTTAATTGCCTAAAATAGATTTTTTCTAACATTGTTTAGATGTATTGTTTACTTCACAAAAATTATTATACAAGAAATTACTGAAATTTAGTTATGCACATATGGTTTACATTTTCTGTTCAGAGAATAGGTACAAACTGGGACATAAATTTTGCATGAGTTTCTGTACAAAGGTTACTTTTCCTCTTGGCTCTCTGAATTGGGGAATTTATACCATACAATGAGCACATGGGGGTGTAAAATCCCCACATTACTATGTACCACATAATCCTGATTCTAAGCACAAAATCTTTTAGAAGTTCTTCAGACAAATTCTACTAACAATCATTCTCTTCACATTTCACTTAATTTAGTTCACAGGCAAGGTTACTTTCCATAAGGCCATAGCTCTGAAGAGAAGGAATGAGAAGGCCTGAAAGCGGCTAAGCTTTTCCCTCCAAGTATTTTTTTACATCAAGGCTATAGGAGTGGTCTATATCCACTAACAGTGCAGTTAATCATTCACAGGTAACCTAAAACAATCAAGGATTTGTCTTAAAAAGGAGTGAAGAGCAAAAACCTTAACCTAAACAGCTTATTCTTTTCATGGAAATATAGCAATAGAAATATATTCAGGTATATTTGAAAAGAACAGATATACTGGAAAAAACAACTTTTGAGAAATTCTTTGTTTTTCCTATCCCCTCAAAAGCAAATTGTGCTTTTCATCATCTTATTTCCTTGATATTACTCAATATATTTTTTATTCTTGCTCACTTATAATTTCTACCACTACTAACAGGAGTTAAGAGAGTGCAGCTACATTTAAGGAAGGACAGTACTGTTTAATTTACAGTAAGCACAGGTAAGAGCTTGTAGATGCTGCAAAACTATATTGTAATGTATCTCAAAGAATTACTACAAGTAGATTTTCAGCTCTAGACTCAGGTTTAATATCACCCACACATAAAAGTCATTCTCCCTGAGCCGTAAAATTTGATGAACCAACTTATAGCAAACAATGATTACATACTGCATTTGATAGCTATTGGGTCTCTGTTAAAATAAATTGCTAATCTTGCTGGGCTAAGAAAGAATCACAGCCTAAAATAAATGGACTTGTAAAATTCTCATGAGATGTTGCCCTGGAGACTCATTTTAATAGCTATACTTAAAGGCCATTTTTCAGAAAGGAAAATGATCTCTGAAGTATGTGAATATAACATACTATTTACTCGATACTTGCAAATAAGTATTTATCTCACATAAAAATATAAAAATATCAATTTTACATATGATTCATCTCTTTCAATGCTTTATCTTTCATTCAGAATGCCCACCCATGATTGCATAAATTGAGACTACAGCGGAAGAATCATTGTAAATATAATTAACTGTTCAAATACTGTAGGAAGAAACCTAATATTACAAGGAAATCATTACACATTGAGACCATACAGAGTACAACACACTTCCTCACTGGGGTGGATTGACTAAATCCTATTTTCAGAAACAAATTATAGAGAAACTCATTGCACTGAACTGATATGGTATTGAAGGTTTGTCTCTGTGTGTTTACTCTCACCTGAATGAAAAATGCACCTAGAGATGAATGAACAGAAAGAGCAAGAAAATAGTGTTGTGGAAGATATGTACATTGTGCCTCTCTGCTGTTCTAAAACCAAAAAGAATAGCAGCTTACGCAATAATAAAAACAGAAGCACTATGATTAAGAACAGGAGAGACAAGAAGCATGGCTATGCCCTCAGACTGGCTCAATACATCCCCTTTAAAAACAGAGAAATAAAAAAAATGGGTTAGTTTGCTCTGGTAGAACAGCTTAATGCTGCCATAAATCATGTTTATGCAGATAATCTGCTATGGTGTTAAGCCCAAAGCAGCATCCTATCAGGCCTTACACACCAAACATTCTGCTCCATGTTAACACTGAAGTCTACTGAATGGAAAGCATCACTGGTAAAGAAGCCAATAGGAGCTCCAGCGTCAAGCTTACTCACGTGTTGTGTGGACACAATGGCAAAGGGTCAATGCTCTAATGGAGACTAAGCACCTTTCAACACACCATGGATGAGGTCTACCTCACTATGGGGGGAGTGGTGACCAAGCAACTTCATAAACTGCTTCTCATTCTTTTTTTTTTTATTTTTATTTTTTTGCAAACACAACTTCTCTCTTCTCCAGCAAGGTTAACTTTAAAACTAACTTATTCTATTGTTTTATTGTGCATTAAATAGACGAAACTTTCTGTCAAAGAAAGTTACAGGCAAAGGCTGGTTAAGGAGGATGCCTCTCAGTTGCTGGGTACCGACTCCCAGCTGGGACAGAGTAAATGGCAGGTACGAGTACTTTCAAGTCATTTTAGCAGTGGTTTAGTCTAACTTATTCAGACTCGTTCTTCAAATTACTTTTATACTTGAGCATTGGTGAGAAATAGTTCAGTAGCCTCACCTCTGAGCTGTTAGTTACTACTTCCTACATAGTACCATAAAGTGGCTGGCTTGCCATGTTAGCAGGCATACAACAAATCAAGTCAAGATCAAAAGTAAAATCATCTAATCATGTAGTCACAGCCATGTATGTGCAATGGTGCACCCATCCAGGGTACTCTGGTCTAGGCTCCAAACAGGCCAAAAATTTTGTTTTCAGAATATGTTTTCCAACATATTCTCGCACTGGGAAAATTACTTTGTTTTCTGTATTTGGAGTAGTATTTACTAGATGATCTTCTTCAGTCCCTTCCAGTTCCAGATTCTATATATCACTGAGGTGAACATAAAACTAAAAAGTGTCAGGCACCATAGGGAAATCTACGTCCACTAGTAGCTATTTCATCAATAAACTCTGGAAGACAGGCAAAATCAGATGCTTTATTAGAGAGATAAGGGATATAAGGAACTGTTTACTAATGCACTGAGAAATACTGAAACATTTGAAGAGAAAACTCATATGCAAGGTATTAGCCAGTTTCCATACTCTGTAGGATATGGTTTGTGATCTCAGAACAAAGACTAGGATATAATGTAAAACAGAAGCTACCCAAAAGAGGTATTATGACATACATTAATAGAGATAAACTTCTAATATATTAAATATTAATTGGAATTGTGATGACTCCTATCAGGATATTTCTAAAATATATTTGCTGAAGACAGCAGAAAAAGTTATCAATGCTGTATTTCACAATCTATATTACATATGGACACAACACAGCCTTTTAGATCTTCACTTGTGTTTATTCTATGAGATAAGTAAATACAAGCATTCTGCTTAGCATAACTCTTTCCTTGACACATGAAACTACCTAGAGCACAAAGTAAAAGAACAAAACTCAGGAAATATAAAATATGTGGAATTCTTGGACATATCCCTGGTAAAAATTAAATAAACTAGCATTAAAAAGCTATATTCTGCAAAGCTTGACTTCAAGCTCATTAATTACCTTTTCATTCTTTGTTTCAGAATGAGTTTTTCCTGACGTAAAAATATTTAACCACATTAATAGCCTTTTCCCAAGTCAACTCGTACAGTCACGAGCCATCCTAATAACTTAAGCACACCATAACGCAAGCACTACACTGCTAAGACATGGGCTTGGAATAGGACTACTAGTGAATCGTTAGTTTATCGTTACCACTTCCTCGTTTTATGGAAGGGAAATTATAAAAGAAAAATAAGCTAGTAAATGTAACCTTGAACTTCTACTGTCATTCTATGCTTTCTGTTTTATGGATATCAGTCAAATAACCTGCATGCTTGAAAATTACTTATAGGAAGTTTTATATCCAAACTCCTAGGCCATGCAACACACTTTTCTCCACCTGGTTGTCCTTCTTCTACAGGGAGTATGTGGACACATAGATGTGGGCCACAGGGAACAACTGAAGTGCCAAGGGCTTGAAAAAGCATAGAAGAGTGCGTATCTCAACCAAAAAAATAATCCAGGCACATTTATTACAGTATATGTGGAAGAAAAACTTTATCAACTGTATGACAAAAAAATTTGCTCCATTCCAAAATTAACTCAAAGACATACCGTGAGCAAAGGAAACAAATAAACAAAAAAACCCAACTTGTCCACTAGGATAAAAGGACCTTAAACTCTCAGAGGTTGTCCTAACAGGAGCTTTCTCTTCTTCCCAGAAGAGATGACTGAGACACCACAGTTACTGAACATCCATCCCTGCTTCCAGTAATATGCAACTTATATGTCCCATTCCCTACTAGAAGGCTTGTTCAGCTAGTTGGTTGGGCAGGAATTACAGGTATGACTTGACTGCAGATGCCTAGGATAGTGTGTATGCCTTTGAAGGATCATGTAACACTAATTCACAAGACAACGGTACTTTTTAAAATTGGCTGGTAGCCAGGCTTTCATATTTGGTATCTTGCTGGCAAAACTGCTAGACTGTCTTACTTGCTGCAGTTGCAAACCGAATACAGCCAAAATGGTCTTGGAGCTTTGGAATAGCCTACAGCATCCTTCCTGAGCTCTTCAGGAAGACTGTGGTCATGGCAGAGCCACAGGATACACCTGTGAGGAGCGCTCTTCCCTAGGGTCCTTCTCTGCTTCCTGGAAGCAACCAACACAGACAGTTCTATGCTCACTGTACCACTGAAAGATAGTCATCTAACCAAACGTGTCATTGAGCTCCGAATGGACAGAGAGGTCTTGCCAACTACTGACATCCTGCATCAGCCATGGGCCACTGTCAGTCTTCTCAGTTAAAACAGCACTATGTTCCAGTAAGGCTACAGTTGGTCAGGGCTCTAGCCTTATACTGGGGTATCTTCCCAGACACTACACGATGAGCCCGTGGGCACACTGACTAAAGGGTCAGTCTCCTCTTTGTTATGGATGAAACAATTCTGGGTGCCTGCAATGCTGCCAGAAGGCAGCAGTGGTAGGCAAGAGGGCTGCTTGCCAGCCAAAGCTTGTTACAGTGAGGTTGAAAGGGGTGCAGCTGATACATCTGGAGGCACAGTATAAGGACACAGTAGGAAGTATGAGACTGAGTCTCCCTGGGAACATAGCTGCATGGATGATCAAAAGGTTAGGACCAAAGCATGCAGATCGGACTATCACAATACACAATCATGTCGACACAATCAATCATTTGGAGTGCAAGCACTTTGTTTTTAAGTTATGTTTTACGCTTAAAGAGCACTTAGACTGAAGCCCCTGTTCTGTAGATGGCATTTTCTGGATTTATCAAAAGCGATAAAAAGATTGCAGATATAATCTTACTATTGATCAGTAATACACTGCAGACATGTTAATTCTTTTAATGCAAATCTCAGAAGTTTGTTGTGTTCCATTCAAAAAGAATCTTTCTTCAATTAATCTTTTTAGATTAATTTATTTCCTAGGGATAAACTAAGCTAAAATACGCATGATGATGAAAAATCTTCTTCTGACTATTTCAAACAGCTTCTTATACTGCTAGGCACAATTTACTAGTAAAGTCTGTAGACATCTCAATGGAATTACCAGAGTGGCTCTATTCTTTTTCTTTTTTTGTAAGAGTAGATAGTACTTTTAGGCAATCACTGTTCTGGTCCTGAGAGAATTTTGAGTGAGGATTACATAGTTTTCAAGTTCATTTTCTTCTCTTGCTTAAATTCAAAATGGGGCCATTCACTCTAGCATATGTTAATAGTACTTGAATTCTAAATATCATCTATCTCCTCAACACAAGTGATAGCAGAAAAGACAGAACATTATTACATCCCATTTTGAGTTACATTCAGAAAAGATCATATGTCATTTTAGCAAAAAATATGAACAGAAGTAACATCCAATCAAATCAATCCATCATTTGTTTAGTGGGCTGACAGTTTGGACACCTTACCACAATAAGCAGTAATTATGATCAAGCACATTTTTCTCTAATATGCATTATATGAAATAGATATGGCTGTTTCCCTTTGGATAGTCCTTGCTACAGTTATCTGTAATTTTTGTTCTAAAATCATTGTACTGAAATTGGTTATTCATTTCAAAACTCAGAATCATTAGTCACTTAAGGTTCAACTATTGCAGCACCCCTGATAAGCGTAGCTTGTCAGTGTAAGTGCACAGAGCACCCAACACACAGTGCAGCTCACAGAACACAAACAGGGCACAGAATGATACTGAAAGAATTTGCCTAAAAAAAAAAAAAAAAATCTGTGGTGGCTAAAATACTCTTTCTTGATAGTGCTTTGTGGCTGGCATATTTCACACATTCATTGTAAGAAAGTTGTTGATGGTGTATTTTCAAAGCTAGATCTTCCTTCTTCTTTTCTGAGAAGAAACTTGATTTTTTTTAGTTACTATACTACCCCAACTGAGGATTAGGAATACAAATAGCTGAATTGCCTAACATGTGAATGCAGCATCTATTGTTAAAAAGATAAAATGGACACTGAATATTTCATTCTATGATTGAAAAATAAAGTTATTAAACTCTGACAATTATTAAAACAATCGTGCAATTCTTAATATTTGACAAGTTCCAAAAAAAATGCATTAGCTATTTTTTCTTCCTCTGTGCTAGGTCACTTCTAGGGAATGCCACAAATCTTTGTTCTCAAGCAGGTTTTCAATTGTCTCTTTCACCTTTAACCTTGACTATCAGTGTTTCTGATACACACCTCTCCACTTCAGTGCCCATAAAGATTTCTGCCTGTTCATCCAAATTTCTTGATATTTATTACATTGTCCAACAATTAAAGCCAGTGAAGACAGAAATACTTTCTCTTGGGCTGTGAGTCTTCTTAAGCATGCATCTTTCTTTCTGCTATATTTCTCCTTGACTCCCATTGCAATTATTCTCTGCTGTTTATCCTTTGCCATTTTATCACCTTTACCATGCTGACTTTGAACTCTCCTTCTCCTTCCACATCTCTTATGTCAGAAAATCTGTCCATGGTCAGCTAAGTAATAACTCTCAAGCATGAAATTATATTAACTTATACCTATATTTCTTCATTAATCTCACCTCATTCTGTTTTGCACAACTGTCTCCAATGGCCTACTGAACCTATAACATCTTAGACTCCTGCACAATTCTCCAGCTCAACTCCAGAATTCTGTAGAATGCCTATCTTTTACTCTTGCACCTTCTAAAATCTCAGCCTTCTTCACTCTGAGATTCAGAGCTAATCTTTCTACTTTTAAGATCCTAATAAACTGGAGCTAGTCCATCTTACTGACATTTCTTGTCAGCACTTCCTTCAGTCACCCATGTCACCACGGTTGCCCCTACCTACCATCAATATTTTAGCTTTAAATCCTACTTTCTCTATCACTTTTTCCTTGTGGCAAATTACACCCATTCCCTAATCATCCATGCTCAGAACATTTTCATCCATTTCAGCTTTAAATTATTTACCTTTTCTCTACTGCTTATGACAAAATTATCTATAAAATGTTTTAATAATATTACCTAATTCTACCATACTTTTATGTCCTAACCTATAATTCTTTATAACTGGAATGCACACAGTTATACACAAAGATATTACACTAATAAAATTGTATAATTGAAAAATTAGCAATCGACATTCAAAACTTACCTGAATGTTTTCTCTTGCTTTACTTCCCTGGCTTGACATACTTGCTCTGGCCGAGTTAAGTAACTTGTGGATTCCAGCAAAATAACCCTGGAACATGGCAAGTGCTTATAAACACTTTATTTTTAACTTGCAGAATGAAGATAAAAATTAGTTTATTATAACTTTCAAATTAAGGTTTGGTAAAGAAGCTTATTATTTTCATTTAAGGATGCTTGAAAAGCACAGTAAAACTTAAAAATGAGGAGATTTTTCTCCTTACACTTATAGGTTTTTTGTTTAACAATTTAAAACATTTTGCACAATTTAAGCCATGGAATTTTTAAAGCTTATGTAAGCATGGAAAATCCTGAGACATTTATTCAAGGATTATTTATTACTCTAAACTACTACCTCATTAATATCATAGATTGATTTGTAATCATAGGGAAAGTTTACAGCCATGACATGACATGACATGCAGACCAACCTGAAATAATTTTTTTTAAATATTAAAAAAAAAAAAAGGAACATCTTAGAAACAGAAGAACTATGCACATTTCAAGATTAAGACAAATCATATATATTTTTAAATATGAAACAATTGTCTAAAATGTAATTCACACTAAGATCTTCACTAAAATAAATGAGTGAAGGATCAATACACAATGACTTGAAGAAAAAACTTAATTTTTTTTTTTTTGCTTCTGTAATTAAAGTGTGAATCTATTAAACTACAGTAAATTGTGATTTCACTAACAAACCTCAAAGAATCTCTTCATTTTTCCTAGAAGACTCTGACCTTACTCGCTTTTGTGTGTGCAACATTATGCACACTTTATTTCTATTTTAGGTAATGGATAATCCATTGCCATACTACTAGTCATTACCCAAGAACTAGAGTTGGTGTATCATTGCAGAATTTATGTTATGTAGCACCAGTACACAATTTTTTCAGCTTAAACCAACCAGATTTCTGCATTTTCTCTACACTTGCAGAGGACAGCACAAACAGAAGAAAGATGCATTGCACTAGTTGAAGATCTGAATTCAAGATCTTCAGTGGAACTACCTCAATTTATATCAGTGTGAGTTGATGCTCTGCCCCACAATTTAATCTGCTCTTAAAAAAAATAACACTGACCATCACTTACTATAATATCTTACGACATAGAAATAATTTCTATTCCTAGGTAAGAACAGCTGCAGTCCTTCACAGAGAAATGCATCAAGGATTTTAAAAGTATTTAACTTATTTTATTTAATAAAGTACAAGTATTCAATAATCTTTAAAATATATATCTATACATGAATATTATAATCTATGAACTGTAAAAACAGAAAACATTACTTAGCTGATAGAACAAGTAGCATCTAACAAACAGCAGAATGCCAGGAAAGGACTGGTTTAGGATGCAATATTTACCGCTTTTGGAAATATCTGACATTTGCTATATATTTGAGACAAAATCAAGGAGGCTCATCTTTTTAACCTGTCCTTTTTTTTAATAGAGTACTATTTTATACATCTTGTTTTAAGATTTTCAGCACTCTTTTTCTGTAAAAAAGCTACTGTTTTGGTATCACAGGTGCACTTCTGTGTATTATTTGCAACTAAGCAATATACCTATGTAATATGGTATAAAATTATGCTACAAAAAATCTTTTATTTGTAGGTTACTGGTTCAAATGTGGCCCAATTTGATAATTACTTCAGGGAGTTTTCATGTAGCTATTGAATGGTATATATGAAATTAAATTATCTTATCATCTTAATCTATTCTTTCTGAAAGAGCTATCCACATCATAGAACTGATTAGACAGCCTCACTGACTATCTCAAAGACTAAAGAAAAGTACAGAAACTAAATAAATTCATATGATTCCTACATAGGAGGCTTATGCTGGAGCACAATGTTGGAGCAGTGAAAAACAATCCTGTTACAGGTGTCTATACCAAACCTGTTCTGTGGACAAAACAAATGTCGTTCTCAGCCTAGGCTGCATGTATATTAAACGCACCAGTAAAAGAAGCTAAAAATGTTATGGAAAATGTTCTCTTAAATAAACAAATAGCATCAACCAATGTTTAGCTCTGAAGAGTAAACACAAAATATGGAGTCAGATCACACAGAATGAGACATAAAAGAGGCTCAGCATTCCTTTCGTTTCATATTAGGAAAATTATGTTTATAACTCTGGAGTTGTTACATCTATGGTGAATACAAATGAAAAATTAGATTAACTGATAGTGATGTGAGACTCAAGGCAAAAGAAAATTTTTCTTTTGCATGCTTTATAATTTAAACAGCAGGATAAGGCAGATTGGCGGGGGGGGCAGAAATAACCAACTATTAATTAATATGGTTTATTTCTGTTTGGAATTCTGCTGGACCTTAGCCAAACATAAAAATACAAGCAAGGTTCATGAACTCCATTAGATTAAAGCTCTTGCTTTATTGCTTACACTGAGAGGGATTTCAATTAATGTTTATTTATCTTCTTTATTCATTATGATAGCTTCTACTTTATAGTGCTTGAAACAACTTTGGCAATGTAAATCCCTATAATTTAACCTCAAGGTTTTACATCCTTAAATAGAAAGAGAAAATTATGGAAAAGAGTTGATAAAACAGCATGATCACTATAGTTTTGTCTTTATAGAATTGTCTACCTGAATATGCCATCAGTTCTGAAGGGATTAGTAACATTAAGAGTAACTTTCTTCAGCTCATAACAGGGAGATTTGCATTTTAATACCTCCTAAAAGAGAACAAAAAATTAAATCAATCTGTTGAATATATCAAAAGTTGCAAACCACATTCATGCTTATACGTTGACAAACAGGAAAATATTACAAAGTATGGAACTATATATTTGGCCACTGATGACTACAGAATTAACACAATTAAATGCTAGGCTTTGTTGCCAGTAAAGAAGAGTTAAAGCCCATTTCTTTTTAAATATGTGTTAGCTTCATAACCTTTACATGTTCTTCAGAATGATACCGCAGGGACAAGAACCAAACTATTTTCTTGCTCTCTTATTTTTCCATATGTATGTGTTTCTTTTCTCCCATCCCAAACTTCCTTTCTAAGATCATTGTCTACTGCTACAACCATATTAAAAGAAAAGGAAGAAAAGTCACAAACACCCCTTAAGCTCAGGAGAGGTCTGCTCAGAGAATGTTTGATAACAAATGTTGGACAGCATGCCAGTTCCTGCTCTGTTTCTGGGATATTTCTTAAATCTAAGGATTGCCTAAACTAAAAATCACAAATAAACATACTAACATCTGAAAAAGTTTGCTGTCCATCTGACACTAGAAGAGGCATACCACCACATCAACAACGGAATTTCCAAAACCTTTCACATGGTGAAAGGACTCCAGTTTGATTTTCAGACCGATTAGGGCAACATTTTAAAATTTATTCAGGATCCAAATACATCATTAAGTATGGTGGATATTCTACCAGACACTTCTCTGCACATACATAGCCTAAAATTTTACACTTGAAAATTAATAGCTCAAAGGCATTAATGGTAATTCACCTTTATATTCCTACCCCAGTGCACTTGTGTTTGATACATCATACTGCTGAACAATATTTTTATGAGAGTATTAATTATACACAAATAAACTTACAGCAGGCTCAATATGCTTGACTTTAGATTTCAGAGAGAATGTCAGTGTGGCACCACCTATTCCACCCACAGACTTTGAAATAAGTAGCAACATTGCTTCAGCAGGGTGCAAAAAACGACTAGTGAATTCCACATTCACACTTGCTTGTGTCCTACGTAAAAAAAAAAAATAATAATAATAATTCTTTAAATAATGAGACAAAGTTGTGACTCAGAAATGTCATTTCAGGAGAGCATTTTAGAATCTTTATGAGCAAAAGGGGCCAGAAAAGAAAGATAATTTTTCTTTTGAACTGCTTTGCTGTAATTCAATCTTCTGTCCATGAGCTGCTTAAAAAGTTCTAATAAAAAACTATATAGATAGAAGAGGAACAATATTAAGTTCTTACTGCTTTTTATGCCATCAGCATGTGGCTTGATTTTTCTTCACACACACACAGCAACACAGGAAGTTCTCTTTCTGAATAGATTACCCTAAGTTAGTAACTGACCTACTTAATGTTCACCTCTTCGAAGGGGACAACTCTCTGTTTAACTTTAAAAAATTCTATTTTTTATGTTGTCAGACAGATCAAGTTCTTGATCTGATTCTTATTCAAGATTGATAAGGAACTGAGTAAAGAAAACTTCAGAATAATTAGACAAAGTTGATTAACAGGTGGAGAAAATGAAGTGCTCTTGGATATGTGACAACTCTTGAGTTTCAGACAAGAAATGAAAGCATAGTAGGAGAGACCACATGGAATGAGAGTCTAGAGAAGGTAAAGGGATTGGACCTGCACTAGTCCTGCAACTGAGCAAGATCAATAACAAAATTTTGATTGTTGAAGCTTTATTCTCCGATTTTGAGATTAATATCTCAAAATGGCATGAAGTTCAGAAAAATTATAGTGTTTAAATACAAGACTTTCAAAAGTAAAAGAATTGTAGAACCTAAAAGTACACTGCCTTTCTACACATATGATCAGAGTATAGAAAGCTTTCTCTAAAAAGTAAGAGACCTAAATTTTTGGAGTTGCTAGTAGAATATCTCAAAACACAAACTGAAAAGTCACCTGACTGGTCTCTATTTTCATGGTAATGCCATTCAATGTAGTTAAAGAACTTTTAAAATCTAAACTCTTCCCCCAACTGTATGAAACAGTATAAAAAAAAAAACTCTAGTAAAAACTTGAAATTTCTTAATTTACTCAAGCTGATATTACCCGAAGAACATTTTGAAGCTATTCGTTAACATTAGAAAAAGGTTATGTTTATAAGCTATAGATTTATTAGTAATTCTTCTGGAAAAGAAAAAGCACATATTAAAGTCAGAAGGAACCCTCTCCCAAAACAAAATCAGCCCTCCCCATAAAAGGATGAATAGGAACTGCACAGCCTGACAGAAAAGAATTAAAATAGATTAATAGAGGGAAATCATGTACAATTTGTTGGTCTTTTGCCAACTGAGACTTCTAAGGCAGAGGCAGACAACCACTGGCAGCATGCAAAATAGGCTTAGCATGTACTGTATGTGTGTGTGTGTGTGTGTGTGTATATATGTATATATACACACACTTACACAGGTAAATGTAAGGTGAGGTAGAGGTAAATGATGAGGTAGAGGACTTGCAATAGTAATCAGTATAGCATGACTTCAGTGGAACAATGTTAATTTACATTTGGCTCACAAGTTTGGTAACAGCTTCTTTTTCAAGTGAACTCAATGCACACATCTGTCCAAGTAAGTTGAGAAGTTCTAGAAACTTATTTTGATAGGAGTAGTGGCAACATTAGTCCCCAGGTAACAGTTGCTGTCAAGGAAACTTTCTGGGACATCCTTTACCTCACTCCTAAGATGGACTAAAGGAAAAAAAAAAAAAAAAAAAGACAGTACTCTTACTTAAAACTACCTTGCAACCTGAGAACTAGACGGTGGCAAATATGACACCAACATCATTAAAAGGTTTTGGGGGAGACAGGAGAACTACAGATCTTTAAGCCTCAAGTATATCAGCTAATGTAGTAGAAAAAAATGATAAAAACCAAAAGAATAAGTAAGTATAAATTGGATCTACTATAAATGAGATCTCCATAAACGTGATCTAGCTGGCACAAGTCAACACCTATAAAATGCAGTCCTGCCTTATAAACCTATAGGAGGTCTTCAAAGGAGTTCAACAAGGTGATTAAAGGTGATTTAGTTCTCATATATCCAATAAGATTCCTGTCTATGCATTTAAAAGGAAATTAGTGAATCACAGAATGGTTTAGGTTGGAGGGGACCTCCGGAGATCATCTAGTCCAACCTCCCTGCTCCAGCAAGGCCCTCTAGAGCATATTGCCCAGGATCACATCCAGACCGGTTTTGAATATCTCCAGCGAAGGAGACTCCACTACCTCTCTGGGCAACCTGCTCCAATGCTCTGTCACCCTCACAGTGAAGAAGTTTTTTTCAGGTTCAGATGGAACTTCCTGTGGTTCAGTTTCTGCCCGTTGCCTCTTGTCCTGTCGCTGGGCACCACGGAGAAGAGGCTGGGCC